ATATAAGCAAGATTTGCAGACCTGCCAGATTTATTGCTTTAGTGCTATTGGGTGTGTACTTCAACATATGAATTTCACTTGGTTCAAATTTTCTGGATTTCAACCAATTAACTAGATCTAGTCAACTAAAAAAAACAAACGCCTACTATAGTAAATGAAATAATCCACTATCAGATAAAACTATGCCTTTAAAAAAACTGAATTGTCCATTTAACTTCATCTTTGCAAAATAGGTTCAGCAGGATCATTTGTGAAATGTTGTTTTAGAAAATGACAGATAGCACAGAGGTTCTCTTTCCATTCAATATTAAATAAAACTGTACAGGTAAGCCCAGGTTCTATTTAGCAAATTACTGTTTAAGGGTTCAATCCCACTGCAACTGAAGTCAATGGGAATTTTTCTATTAATTTCAATAATTTTGGATTGGGCCCTGAAATAGACACACTTACTGTTCACTCGCCTTTCCTGCTCCTAACAGGAAAAGTTTGCTCCACTGAGAAGTCAGTCACTTTGTCTAGATCAGTGGTTCCCAAACTTCAACAACCTGGGAACCCCTTTCACTAAAATGTCAGGTCTCGCAAACCCCCTCCTAAAAATGAATATTTCCGGGGATTTTCTCCTTTACCTGAGTATAAATTATAAAAGCAGTGATCTTGGAAATATAAAATTTGTTGTTATGACATGCTTATTGCACAGTATTTATTATTATTATTTATCATTACAGTATTTTTATTACATTATGAAAACGGCAACACTCTTCCAAGTTATCACTTTTGTAGCTTGTATCAATGTGAATCAGCCTGTTATAAGACAAGGCTCCTATGTTTCATCAAGGAGTATCAGATGTGAAACAACATGAAGGTATTTAAGAAGCCAACTCAAAGAGTTCCTCCTATATAAGCATTCAGGTCTTGAGCAGTCCAGGCAAACAACGCACGTTACAACAAAGCTTAAACTTGTTCTTCATAATAATTTTAAAAACAATACTAGCTGCCTATTTCATTTTAAAAACAGCAAAAAATATCCACCTCCCTTTCCATTTCTTATAAGGAGTCTTGAAGTTTCAATCTCCTCAGTGTGATAGATCTGCTTAGCTCTTGGAAGTCCACCGGCTCCGGGCTGTGCTGCCCAGGGTCCCTAGGGACAGCTCTGTCCGCCATTAGGGAATTTTTTCCCAAAAACCCCCTGTAACATTTTGTGAACCCCAGTTTGGGAACCACTGGTCTAGATCAATTATTTCTATCAGTATGGTGAGGGTTTTGTTACACTAGATGAACAATATGTACGTCAAGTAAAGTGCATAAAAATTACATTTATATGTATAATCATTAATAGTTAAATATGAGAAATAATTCTACTGCAAATGAAAAAGCCCAAGAATTTATAGCTTTATCTGGATATTAAAAATTTATAAATTTAAGAACCCCTCCGACAACCGGAGAAGACTGCTTAGTCCATCCATCACGCCAGCTCCTTTTAGCTTTCCACATAACACAGGCACATTCAACTTCTTCAACAGACCTTTAATTCAATAGCAATTCTATTCCATATGTTCATTATATCCCTATACTATTCTCTACTGTCAATATAGTTAAGTTAGAGAGACAAGGTGGGTGAGGTAATATCTTTAAACTACCAACTTCTGTTGGTGAAAGAGACAAGCTCTCTAGTTACACAGAGCTTTTCTTCAGGTTGGTCCAATAGAAGATATTACCTCACCCACTTTGTTTCTTTAGTATCCTGGGACCAACATGGCTACAACAACACTGCAAACTACAATGAAGTGTCTGTCAGTTCTTCATTATAAACACATATATTCAGGACTCAGCTATCAGTATTTACTACAAGCTGGCACAAAGAAATGTAGCATTTAAAACAACAGGAATGCAAGCACAAAGCTGCCACATTTCAACATTGTATACAAACTTAATATCTCTTAATATCTACATTTTTATTAAGGTGTAAAATCACATCACTACCAAACAATGAAAATGACAGCAGTTTGACATTATAGAAATTATATTTATTTTAAATAAAGTGGCTTTTTCTAGACATGCTGGAGATGTTACTATAAGAGATATGATGATGTATTTAATATGAATTGGACATGCAAGTCCACACAGGTCTAAAATAGCCTTCTGGTTCAATCCTATGGCTTTAATCCATGACAATCACATTGAAGCTATATGGAATCACACTTTGAATTTTGACACAAGTTTACCAACTCAATTAACAGTGTCTTCATTTTTTCATTTTTGCTGGGGTCTTCCTCCTGATTTTGCAATTTTATAACAAATTTCATACTGAAGCAGCAACTGTACTTCTACTAAGGTCTGGTCTACACTTAAAAGTTACATCAACCTAGCTATGCCATTCAGGGTTGTGAAAAATGTTGTGCCCTGAGTGCCGCAGTTCCATTAAATAACCCCTAGTGTAAACACAGGTAGGTCAACAAAAGAATTCTTCCATCAACGTAGCTACCACCTCTCAAAAAGGCAGATTAACTACACCCCTGGAAAAACCCCTTCCATCAACATAGGAATGGTCTATACTACAGACTACTGAGGCACAGCTGCAGCACTGGAGCTGAAGGATACAGTCACATTAAAGTTTATTTTACCATGTTAAAACAAACATTTTAGATTATGAAAGATTTTACATTTCACTATCTGATATTTTTATTGTGGGTTTATTCTCTCAACCTGGATAATGAAATTAAATCAGTTAGTTACACTTTTGTTTACAGTCATGTTCTCTTTCTGGATCTTATTCATCGGCACAGTTCTGCAGTGTCTGAATAGCAAACACTACAGGAACAAAATTGTTTTTAAAAAATCCAGTGGAAGCTTTAAAAAATATCATAGAAACATTCCTATTGTTCTTAGGTTTTACCAACCTTATTTCCTTCTGAAAAACTAAATTATAGATGGAATTTAACCTGAGTATTTCTCTTTACGCTCTGTTAATTTTTGCAATAAAGGAAAACTTGACTCTGTTCTCAACCTTTGTACTCTGATCACTGCAGAACAAGTTCATAGGCTAGTTTATAGCCTAATAAATTCAACTGAATTGTCAGAAATTAGCTCATTCCACAGAAAGTTCTTTACCTTGCATGAGTAAGCCAAGACACTTATTTTAAATAATGACATACGCTTACTCTCACCTTTGACAAAAAAAGTGGGGGTTGATACATTCTATCAATAGCAGTTACCTAAGTAATAAGTAACAAACATCCTTTCATCTAGTCTATTAATTTAGCCATTTCAAGTTTTTACAAGTATCTGGTAATATTAGGATTTACTAGTTAAGAATCCATTGGTCAAGCATGAGTAAGCATCTACAATACATTCTATGCATACGAAGAAGTGGGCTGTAGCCCACGAAAGCTTATGCTCAAATAAATTTGTTAGTCTCTAAGGTGCCACAAGTACTCCTGTTCTTTTTGCAGATACAGACTAACACGGCTGCTACTCTGAAACCTAACATAAGATACACTGTGCATTGTATTCCAAGTAATGGGTGATTAAACTGTGCAGTGAAAGAACATTTTTATTAAACTTTGTTCTGCTTGAAAATTAATGTGGAGATACAGAGCTTAGAAGCCAGCTTTTAGATAGTGTAAATCATTTTTGAGAAAGTGATGAGCATAAAGTAATCAAACCTGCAAAAGGCAAAAAGCTTCAACAGAAAGTATGCTTTTTGCAGTCCTGATTATGTCCTTAGACCAGTTGATACAAAATCTCGCTTTGTGCACACGAGTCTTTACTTTGTATAGTTGTACTGGCACAGAAACGTTTACTCTTTTGAAATGGAGACAACAATAGTACAAATGTCTGTTACAGAATAAGAAAACACCACAAGAAGGAATTTCTGAGTGAGATGATTAAAATGACATTTTCACTGCACTTTATCTGTATGTATGCACAGTAAGAAAGTTCTCACTGTAAGAAGAAGGAAGAAAAAAAAAATCACACTGCCAGGAAAAGTCTACCTTCTTCCAGATGAATCCCTGAGCTCTCCCTTTCAATTGCTTAAATCTTCAAATACATAATTTAGGGGCCCCAGCCTCTTTTAACTACTGTGTAAGAGCTCAGGATGTGTCTGAATACTTGGGACTCATGTGCTAGTTTTGCCCTTCTATTTCTCCTTCCCAATTAATTGGCAAACTGTATGTTTATTTAAAGAAAGGTGTGTGAGGTGAGAGAGCTACTGTACACAACGAAAATGCAAGAGAGAATTAGCTACTCTCCTCCTGACGTTCAACTTCTTTAACCTTCCAATTTTTAAACCTCTCTAGAAAAGCATTTCCTCTATATTGGGTATAACAGGGAATTTCGAGAGTCGCATCTAAGTCAGTCTGATGAATAAAGTTTCTTTTCTACAGCTGCTGGGGTAAGAGACTTGCACCCTATGAATAATGCTCTGGACACGGACACACACAATCTGATTTGGAAACTTTTCTAAGCATCAGCTCACCCAGAAAGTTCCCAGAACCTCTCACTCCCTTCCCAGCCCGACACGCTGCGCGCCCCTGGGTCCGGCTAACGCTTCCCCGAGGCTGTTCCCAGCACGACGCCCTGCCGGGCCGCTTTACATCGCCTGCGTGTGTTTGGCCCCAGCATTTCTCCCCCGACAGGTGCGCGCCCCCAGCTCTCCCCGGCAGCCGGGCTCCAGCTGCGACCACCCCGCAGTGGTCGGGGGCCGGCTCGCGGCCGGCACGCAGTCAGCGGAGCGGCCCAGGCGAGCCGGGCACCGGGAGAGGGGGCAGAAGAGACCCCGAGGCAGCGGCCAGCGGGAGCCGGAGCCCAGGGCCCCAGGGCGGGGGAGTGGTGGGGACCAGGGACCCCAGTGGGCCGGGGTGGCCCCAGGGCCTGCCTGGGAGGGCAGAAGAGCCCGGGACGGGGGTGGCGAGCCGAGGACCCAGGGCCTGCCGCGGAGCTCTCCTGCCCGGGCAGCCTGGCCCCGGCCGGCCGCTGCTGCGCCGCGCTGCCCCGGTTACCTGCCGCCGCCGCGCTCTGTCCCCAGCTGATGCCGCCGCGGCCCCTGCGCTGCTGCAGCCCCGCCCCGGAGCAGAGTCCAGGGAGGTGCCGCAGACGTCAGCGGTACGGAGGGGGAGGCGCGGCTCGACCCGGCCCAGAGCGCCCGTCACGGGGACTCCCCCGCCCCGCCGCCTGTCTGCGGCTCATCACGGCCCCGGTCCTCTTCTCCGCCGGCCGGGGCCCTCCCCCACCGCTGAGAACCCGGCTTGGTGGACCCGCTCCGCGACACTAAAACGGCCCTGAGAGTGGGGCTGAGTCCGGGCGCTCCAGGCATCGGCCTGGTTACCTGCAACCCCTGGGCCCTGCTCGAGCCTGTCCTGACTGTCAGGGGGGAAATGACCCTCCCTGTGTCACCCTTTAGCCCTGGTTCCTACTCCTGGCTCAGGCTCTGCCTTGCTTTGTGACCCAGTGTCTGGCCAGGGAGTTGAGGGGGTGGGGGTTACCTCCACCCAGCTAAGTGCTAACATCCTGCTGGTGTAGCGATCACTGGTTATTTGCAACAGGAGTGGAAATGGCATGGAAACGCCAGTTGCAAACAGCACGTGTACATTGCGCTGGGAGGTGTGATTATATCAGGTGTAAACATACCCAAGACAGCTTGAATCTAGCTGGTTCTGTAGTGAAGTCAGGGCACAATGGGCATTGGCCTGGGCTGACCACACATTTAATTCAGTATCCACAGTACAAAAGATTATGAACATGCCTTTGTCTACACTTGAAAGTTAATTTGGACTAAGGTAGTGTGGGATTTCTAATTGCAATAGTTATTGCTGAATAACTGCATGTGTGGACATACTTATTCTGGAATAAGAGTTTTATTACTGTTTAGCCTTTGTAAATTCTTCACAGCAGGGACTGTCTCTTAGGTCTGGTCTACACACAGTTTTTGTACTGATCAATTTACAGATGTGATTTTTTTTTTAATCAGTGTCATTATATTGGTACAACCCTCCTCTCACCCTGCCAGTCTGGATGCAATTATACCAGTATAAATGTGTGTTTACAAGTATGGCTTATTCCCATCCCAGAATGGAAATTAATAAGCCATACTTGTATAAACATATTTTTACCAATATAACTACATCCACATTAGGGACATTGTGCCATGCTGACTATACCAATATAGGCTATAGTTAAAGCAGTTCAACTTTGTTTTGTAGGCAAGGCCTTATTGAGTGTTGGTACAGTGCCTAACACAATGGGGCTCTGATTCTCAGTTGGAGTCGCTAGACACTATTGTAATACAAACAATAATTTAAATGATTAAAATTGAACAATTAAAATACATATTTTTCTTTTGACTATTTATTCCTTTGTTTACTATTTGCTTTTTGCTCAGCTCCGTCATTGAAATTTACCAGACACTTCACTTTGCAGTCAATTTCAACTCAATTTCAGTTGAAATTCAGACACACTAATACAAGGTTGCAACATTTAGACTGAAAATATTTCAGTTTCAGTATTTCTTAATCTTTTAAAGATTTTATTGAATCTTTTAAAATTAACTATTATTTTTTTTAAAATGAAAATAAATGTGGGGACTCAACTACTTGGCTGTGTTCCTTTAATGTGAAAGATTTGTTTACTAGTTTCCATACATAAGAGGCGATAGAAGTGCTACTTATTCCTTAATATCTCCAAGAGCTAGCCTTTTCTTTCCCTTCCCCAGCCAGATCTCTTATTCAGGCCCTCGATTATATATTCTGCCTTGACTCCTAAAACATCCTGTTTTCTGAAATTCCCAAAACACACACTGCCCCACTTCACACAAGATGTAACCACTAAAATCATTTTCCTCGCCTGCCCATGTGATCATGTCACTCCTGTCTTTGAATGTCTCCCCTGGCTCCCCATATGTGATTGCATCAGATTTAAACTTCTTTTCTCCACCTTGAAAGCCCTACATAATTCTGCCCCTCCCTAATTGAGTTTTGTGTTGCTTCCTTGCCCTCCATTCCAACCTTCTCAACTTTGTCCACTCATTCATCAGCTTCTCCCACAATCACCTCCATGCCCTCTTCTACACAGTGCTATGTGAATAACATGACCAGCCTGAGCTTATTCTCCAAACCTGTACATTGTCCTCCCTAAGTCCCTCAAAAACCCACTTCTATTATACTGCTAGAGAGAGTCTCATTAATTTGTATCTAATAATCTGCTATTCTCTTTCTACTAACTTTTATATCTTTCTGTCCTTAGACTTGGCAGATTAGGACCATTCTGTCCTGAATGTCTGAAAAGCTCCCAGAACATTGTAAAAATACAAATATATTTTATATATATGTAAATATACAATAATAAATAATTGCAAAGTAATAGTCTTCAAACTGTATTTTACTCTTAAGAGCTGATGCTTAGCCATGCCTATTGCTAGCCTCTATCCTAGGAGAATTTAAAGGAACCCCTTTCCCTCCCCCAGGATTTTTCCAAAATAAGTACTCTATTGTTATTTATTTATATAGGACCAACACTGTACTATACACTTTATGGACAATACGAAACGAACGTGTTGTATATGATTAAAAGTGGGTGCTTAATCATGCAGCTTGGGCGGAGTACAGCTGGAGCTAAATCCTGTGGCCTGACTAACATTCTCTGTGTCAATAAAACAAGTTCTGAACAAGTTGGTTTTGTTCTCTCGGTCACTACATGTGCATGTAAAGTGCCAGTTTCAGTCAGCAGCTGCATAGCTGACATGCCCATTCTGCAATAATTGCAGAGTTTGAATTGTGTCTGTTTGACCCAAGTGGTGGGGGGCATGGATCACACTCCCTGTCAGTAGCTGGCCCGGGCCTAAGAAACTAATGATCCAACCAGCAGACCAAATTCACGTGCCACCTGAGGCACATTGTGCATACACTTGGCAGGAAGTGAGGTTCTACACACCTCCACTTTATCCCCTGAAAGTATGTTAGCAATAAACAGCAGCTGGGGCTGTTCCATTTCATGGCATGTCTAGAAGAGGAGAGACACCAGAAATGCTGGTGCTGTGATTGAATTCTAGAAGACTCAGGTTTCACAACTTTTCACAAGATGGCAAAGTTACAAGTATGCACACTCCTCAAAACATTCGGTACATCTTTTCAAATGTCATTGTTCCTTCAAGTGTCACTGCACGTTTATTTATTTATTTAATCTCAATGGACATTTACACGAGTAATTGCTAATACAGTAGAATAGGCTGGTGACCACTTGTGACTGCTATTATCAATGAGACTTCTAATTTATGTAAATATAATCATCTTTGCTGTTACCTTTTTCCCCAACCCACCTTTATATGTCAGTTTACTCTTGTTACATCTGCTCCTTATCACTCATAATTTCAGATTAAGGGCAGGGACAGTCTTTGTTTTATTTATTTGTATAGTACTTTGAACAACGATGGCCTCTAGGTGATACCACAATGCAAATAATAGTAATTTCACTCAATATTAGGGTGGAAGAATCAGGCACTTTGTAAGTGCCAGTTTGTAATGTGTTTAGAGTGGGCGACGCAGCACAGATTAAGGGAAGGAATAGAAGACTGCTCTTTCAAATGGCGGTTTGTGTCTGGGGCTGTTTTGCCAATGAGAGTGGGACTGGACTATTAGAATTTATCCCATCCTTTGCAATATTCCACTATAGGTATGGAGTAGAGTTGGGGAGAATGTGAAATAAGACAGCTATTAATACTGCAGAACACTTCTGTGTCAAATACAACCTTTTATGATTGGACTATACATATTTTTAAAAACATGATTTTTCAACATGGCAGTTCATTTGGATTTTTATGGACAACTTTATTTGGCATCATTTAAAATAATTAAGAGTTTGAGTAAATTACAATATTTTTACGTTTCTAGGGCATTGGAGTGGCACTTCTCATTTAAAGCATTACCCTTTGGGACAGTATTTGTAAATTCTATAAGGGCCTAATATTGTTTTCCATTTGCAAAACATACACAGATATGGGTAATTATTATCTAGGGGGAAAACCTGTGTATTTGTGAAAGGAAAACTGAGCTAAATATAAATGTGCTGAATAGTTAAACTCTGTCATAACAGAAACAAGATACATAATGCCAGGAAATCATTCAACAAAATGTATTTAAAGTATATAAATCTCTCAAGTCCGTTCTCCCTTGGAGAGGGTTTCTTTTCCCATAAAATTAAGGAAAGTGAAAAAATGATAGTAGCTGTACTTTGGAACTTTAGGATAAATGGTCCTGAAACAGGGAGGAAAAGTTTGCAGTTACCGCCATTGCTACAAGGAAATATCTATAGAAATGTATGTGAGAGTTAAACATTCTCAGACTGCTGATAAAAAAAACCCCACACGTGTGAACACACTATATTATTCCAGTCAGTAAACTGAAGTTCATTTTCTGTTTTGGAACAAATGATTTTTTATTATAATATACTGGATCACTAATATTTGACCTTGCATACCTACTGGGGACTATGGCATCAAATTTATTTTTTTTATTTATTGACTATTTTATTTAAATTTTATATAAAAACATTTCTTCAATTTGTTGTGGAATTATTAGTATCAATGATTTAGAAAGAAACACAGTCTGGAAGATGAATGCAAATAGTTCTCTTGAAGTGAACCTTGTAAGGGATAATTCAGTTAATGGATATTGCCCTATTAAACAGATACATTTTGTGATAGGTTGAGTTAAACATTTGAAAAACTGCTGTTGCATCTGAATGCAGGATGCAATGCTGGAGAGAGTATCTTCACAACCTTAAGTTCCATTTCCTGGTTAGAGGGAACAGATCTATCTAGTCTCGCTCTTTCTCACTCAGGTAGTTCTAAAAATAATCCAGGAAATAGTAAAGTGAAGTTTGTTCTCTCTGTCAGATTCCTTCTTTTAGAGGAATATCCCCACACAAGCTGAAATTTGGGTGCAAAAATTTTGACCCATATACAAAGAAAAAAAATGAAGAAAAGGACAACATAATTCTTTTAAACTCTTACCTTCTTTTCTGACCATGCCATGGAGACAATGGCAAGAAGCATTTCAAACATAATTAACAG